CTTCTTGTCTTTGTTGCATTCTGTGTACTTTCTTTTAGATCTTTCAGTTCACTACTTCTTACTTTCCTGTGTCTAATCTGTCTTTTTTGTTTTTGTTTTTTCCCTAGAGGGTGTGTGCATAAAACAGAGACAAGGAAAGGAGAAAGCACCCTCCTCATGGCAAATGGTCATACCACAACCCCTTTCTCCTCCGTCTCTCCTTCCCTTCAGGATTTTGGGCACACATGCACACATGCCCGGCTTATTTCTCAAGATGCTGGGTCAAGAACTTGAACCACGCAGTTGGCCACAGGGGACCTGGCTGCCTTAACCACCAGGCCAGCCCAACCTGCCTTTTAACTTTGTCATTTCTTTTTACAGCTTCATTGAGGTATTCTTTACATTTTGACACATGTACAGGTATATATGTCTGGGATATTATCACCATGCTCAAGATAATGAACATGTATCTGCCACCCTCCAAAGTTTTCTTCTAATCCTTTGTAATCATTTTCTCCTTCCTCTTCTTTGCCCCACACCCCAAGTTTACAAATACTGATATGCTTTTTGTCACTATAGATTAGTTTAGGTTTTTCAAATTTTATGTAGGAAAATCAGCTCATTTTAATTTTTTTTTCTTTTTTTTAAAATTTTTGGAGAGGTTTTTGCTATAGGGTGCATGCTCTTGCCGGGAAGACAGAGAGAGACAGAGAAACAGAAAGCGAGAAATCACCTCCCAAGGCGTATGGCCACACTGCAATCCCTTCTCTTCCATTCTCCTCTCGGGATCTTGGGCACGCATGCACATGTGCCCAGCATGAGTTTAAGCTACCGAGTCCAGGACTTAAACCTCAGTGAACTATGTGGTAATCCAGCAACATAGCCATTATGCCAACTGCTGCTGCCAATCAGCTTTTTTAAAAAAATAAAAAGTTTATTTATTCATTCTGTGAGCAAGAGAGATAGGTACAGAGAGACAGGCACCTCCAACAGGGTCCCCATTCAATGATCCACCCCATTTTCAGCTAGTCTCCTCAGGCAATTCAGATCCTCAGTTAGGTTTGTGTGCCAGTATACTCCACTGCCTAGAATAGTGCAGATTCCTCAATAAAATCTTTGATGTTCTAAAATCATCAGTGGTATGGTTGTCTTCAGACTAGAAGGACACTTTTAAAAATTTACTTTAAAGAATTAATTTATTTAAATTTATTTATTTATTTTAAATTGACCAGAGAGGGACAGATGGAGAGATAGAGAGAGAGAGAAAGTGAGAAAGCAAGCCGCCAGGTCTGGTCTCGAACTGTGGTCGGCCATTTGGGAGTCCTGCACCCTTAACCACCATGCCATCTGTTGTCCTCTGTAGAAGGGCACTTATATATTTGTTTACATTTTGTCTTCTGAACAAACTTCCACACTGTACAACTCTAAATTTTTTTAAATTAAGAATTTGAATTTCAGGTCCATTTTCCCACACTCTTTGTCGTCCCTAACCGTCGGCTACAGCATATATTTCCAAGGAGTTGAGTAACAGCAAAAAGGCATCTTGTTTGGCACATGTCATTGAGCAAAACCTGGGCATCTGCTGGTCCCTCACATGAAGTGCGAGCTTGACTGAGGAAGCCCACGGTCCAGAAACCTGTGGCGCTGGCCCTGGGCAGGCCACATCTGTGCCAGCCTTCCTGGCCATCCCTGCTCTGTGTGGTTTTCTGCCTCATTCATCACATCCACGCTGTAATGTGAGGTGATTGGGCACATAGTATATTTAGCAGCAAACCTTTCTGTGACTTGCAATCTGCAAATATTATTCATCAGATGCTGGCTTTGCAGCTGTTGCCTCTCTTGAGGCACCAGGCCATTTCACTTGACTGAAGATGCCTTGGTGTGAAAGACTCAAACGGAATCTTGAGTTTCCACATCACAGAGGTGATCAGCAGAGCCAGCTTATGTACAGTGTTCAGCTCTACACTGTGTGAACCCCACAGGAAATGGGGTGCCAGTAGAGCCTGATTCTGCCTTTTTTAGTTAAAGTTTACTTTTTTTTTTTTTCTTTTTTATAAAGGCAGTGTGTTGTGTCTCCATCCTCCACACTTGGCATTTTCTTTCTTTTTTTCCTTCCCAGACTTGATGACGCTGTATTTCCCAGGGCATCTCAGGCTTACCGTCCTCCTCTTTCAGCCTCACTGAGTCGTTGGGGTGAAATTTTGAATAAGGAGAGGTGATTTCTTATATTGCCTATCATCTGAACACAAGGTGGAGTGATCAGAACAATAGACATCACGAGAAAGCTGTTTCACATCTATTCTATGAACAAGCGTCTTTAACAATATTAATTTGCTTTAGTGTAAATGGGTTTTAAGGACTTTGTTTTTTTTCATGTCTTTTATCACCTGGCTTCAATCTTTTTAAGATAGTCATAAGAAACGCTATTTTACAACATACCAGGATTTAAAGCTTTTTCCAAGTTGTTTTCCCCAGTAGCTACTGAGTCTTTGAGAGCATTATTACCCCAGGGAAAAAAGAAAGGGAAACTATGGTTAAATGCACAGCAAGAAGTCTTCCACAAATTCTTGTTAGTTGATTATCTCTGAGTGTCTCCTTATTACTTGATAGTAACTACTTCCATAGGAAATTTTTTAAAAATCTGGAAATCACATCACTTCTCTTTCTTTTTTCCTTTCTTTCCTTTTATTCATTTCTTTAGATGTTTATTGTGTGTGTCTTATGGAACTGTTCTAGGGACTAAGTATTATATCACTGAACTCAGTCCTTTTAGTGTAAGAGACAGTAAAAACAAGCAAAAAGCACAAACTAGCTTACGTAGGTATTTATAAATCCTAGAAAATATTTTGGATTTTATTCTTAGTAGGAAGTTACTTAGCAGTGGTGGTAATGAGAAATATATATTTTAAATATTTAAAATAGCATTTGTTGACAAATTGGTTATAGAACGTGAGAAAGAATGGGGTCAGGATGAAGCCCACCTTTTTGATGTGAGTAAACCAAGCAATGAAATAGTCATGTACTGCTTTAGGAAAACGGGTTTAGAGAGGAAGGTTGAGGAATTAGGGACACAAAATATTTACATACCTATTCATCACTCAGATGGAGATATCACCTATGCAATAGGAAACACAAGTCTGCAGTTAAAGGCAGAAGTCAGATGTATACATGTGGAGTCAACAATGTATAGATGATTAAAGCTGTAGGAAAGAACGAGATCACTTAGGGGCTAAGCATATGTGGTGAAAGGAAGTCTACTCTACCACTGAACTTAGGGCACTTCAACATTTAGAAGTGTAGAAGATGAAGAGATCTTGCAAAGGAACCCAAGGTAGCAGGGGGGGTGGGGGGGGGGAGAAAGAATAGTTCATCAAGGATAGAATAGTCACCTATATTAAATACTAGTGAGTGGTCAAGAAAGATTTGGACAGAGAATTAACCACTGGATTTAACAAAGTGAAGGGGTTATTGGAGTGTCAGTGGCGTGATGGAAACCAACCTTGATTTCAATGAGTTGAATGAATAGTGGGAACTAAAGTAGTAATAGTTATTGGGTCATCAGAAAAGTCGTGACATATTTTTCTATGTTTTGCTATGCAAAAATGCTTCACTACTTTTACGACTACCCAGTATATCAAAGATTCCTTTTTGGAAGTCTTGGCTTTTAAGAGGAGCAGAGAGAAGGAGAAATAGCTATGGAAGATACAAGAACAGATTTTTTTTTTTTTTTTGTGGTTGTTTAATATTTATCCTTTGTAACAAAACAGAAGACAGAATATATGGACACAGGTATTAGTAGCCTGGTAGACTTGATGGCGAATAGGATAAAGTTCTCTTGGGTTGTTTATATTTTCTCAGTAAAAGGAAACACCAAATCATGAGCTGAGAACAAGAGTGAGAGGAGGAGAAAGAGGAAATGATAAATTTGAGAAGCAATAACAAGATGTAAAGTAAACATTTTGGAGAATACAGTTGTGTTGGATTTCAGATCTTTTTAGGCTCTTGGCATGGTAGTTAAGGGCGCTGGACTTCCACATGTTGTCCGGAGTTCAAGTCCCAGACCTAGTAGCTTGCTTTCTCACTTTTCCTCCCTCTTTCTTTCTCTCTCTCTCGCTCTGTTCCTCTCTGGTCAAATTTAAATAAATAAAGTTAAATAAAATATGTCTTAAATAAAAAAGTAGAACACTATGGATGTTCTACTAAAAGGAATCAAAATAGGAACAGTTCAGGCTAAAAAGCATTGACAGTAACCAGGTTGCTTCTTTGACTTATTCAAGGGCTGTATAAAAGTCAATTGATAATGTAATTTAAAAAATTATTTTTAAAGGCCAGTTCTATGATTTGGTGGTTAAGGGAGCCAACTCCCATATTTCTAACCATGTAGTTCAAATCCTTGCCCTGGCATCTTGAAAAACATGTCAGGTCATGTCATGTGTGCCCCAGATCCCAACATGACAGAAAAGTGGAGGGATTATGGCATAATCACACCCCATTGGGTGGGGGTTTCTCCCCCCTCTGTCTTTCTCTGTATCTCTCTGGCAAGCTCACATGCCTTCTGGCAAATTTTAAAACATTTTTGAATAGTTAATATGTTTACTTAATATTATAGCTAATGTAGTTTATATATTTTAAAATACAAAAAGAATACATGTGTAAGAAATGAAGAATCTCCTTCTTTTGACCTTCCATCACCTAATTTCTTTTCCTGAAGTCTGTCAGAAATACACCTTCTTCTGTCTCCTTCCAGAGATGTTTTGTTGATACATATTTTAAAAGTGAAATATATGCTAAAATATTTTTATAATCCTTATTCCAATCAAATATTTTTAAAATGTTATTTACATCCTTTTATCTCTTTAGTTTATATAAAAGCAAGTTTTCTAAAAGAGCAAGGAAAAGCATCTGTTTTAATAGTGACTTCGTAGTATTGGTAGCCAGCTGGCAGGAGTTGTATTTGTTAGCTTTTTCTTAGGAAATATGTATATTTAACAGGGTTCTTTTTTTTTTCTTTTTCTTCACAGCTGATCTCGCATCTTTAATGGATAAAACATATGAGAGAAAGTTGCCTGTTAGTTCTTTAACAATATCACGGGTAAGAAAATTTAAACATAATAAATTTTCAAAAAAGGAAGAAAGCATGAAAAGCCCTCTATACAAATAAGACTATGTAAATAAAGAATAACCTTCATAGATAATATTTTTTCCAGAGTATGGTATATTTTTACCATTTATGAATAGATATTTTACAATAGTATATTTCTTGGGATGAATAAAAGGTAATGAATGTTCTAGACTGCAGTTTTAGTAATCACCATTGTGTATCTAGTTTATTTTAAATTTCTAAGATTTGCTGTTCTGCTATATGATACTGTAATTTTTTTTTCTTCAAGTTGACATGTCTTTCAATGTAGTAATATTTATTTCTTAATATTGGAAGTGTTTTTTGGTGACTGAGAAAACCTGTATAATGGATATTATTATTAAATATGTCAGTTTGCTACAGAGGAGCAGATGGAAGAATGATGTTAAACTAGGAAGCAGCAAGAATAGATAGTCACCATTACCAAATACCTTCTAGGCCAGTTACTGTTTTAATTTCTTAACATACATTATTTCTGTTAATTTTCATAGCAGCCATATGAAATAAGCATTATGTCCATTTTATAGCTAAGACATAGAGTGGTTGAAAACTTCCCCAAATTCACAAAGCTTATAAATGGAAAATCTGGAATTCAAACTCAGATATTTATGACATAAAAATTATTTTATGTCAGTAAATATACTGGTCTTGTCTTCATGATGATTTTCCCTTGTGATACTAGATAATGAGGGCCCTCTCAAGGTCCTTATTTGCAGTATGGGGAGGGTAATATCTTCCTTGCAGGAATGATGTGATGCTAAAATGAGACCTTAGTCCTAAAAGCTTTCTATTGAAATTGATAGCAACCATAAAAGTCAAGGTATTATTAAATTTAAAAGAGAAAAAAGAAAAAGCTTGTCTTCCTTTCTAGACCTGGTTCTCTGACTCTTGATTTTTTCCTGTTGGTAGGAAAACTTTTAACTGATCATAACTTAAAGTTTATGGACTCATATTAACATATTGGAGAACTGAAAGGCCGACCATTCCTGCCACAGTACTTGATATTTGTTTAAGTAGTGTGCCAGGGGTTAAAGAACTTCCATGTTCTCCATGGAGCCCCACACTCTTTGGGGCAAGTGCCCTTATCCTACTTAGGCAGATGGAGCCACTGAGTCCCAGAGGAATTGCCATCTGTTTATGCCACGCACAAGCAATCAGGAGAGCTGGTTCTCAGCCTCAGGTCCTGTGTTTGAACCACATTTTATCTACTCCTTAAATGGATTTCTAAAGCAAATCCAAAGATCCTAGGCATTTTTTAGAAATGCCTCTTTAGTCTCCTCTCCCTCTTCATGAGGTTTTAATTGTATTCACAACATACATTATCTCCTACTCTGTCTTTGTGGCCTATTTAGGCTAAAATTTGTCCTTGGAATAATCCTTTCTGTTTGTTTATTTGGACTATAGATAAGGGACATACCCAGGGAGTTTATGGTTTGAAGGGAGACTGTTGTTAGAGGAATTAAAGATAGACTAGTTCATAGCAGAACTTAAATCAGAAGTAGAAAAAAGGTTGCAAGACTGAATTCTTTAATAAATGTAGATGTTTATATTTTAGGCAGTATTTTCTCAGACACTATAAGTCTTCATCCTTTTAATCATGTATTCCCATGTATTTGGAACGTGGACCACAGAAACTATCAGTGTTTTAAGATAAAGGTAAAAATCAATGACTGGTTATAAATATAGTCAGAGGAGCCCTCTCTTATTCTGAGCAAGGTTCACATTTGACTTTCAATCATTTTTTCCCATCAACGTTATTCTACATATGAAGAAGAGAAGCCATTGTCTGTTCTTTGTATTAGCATAAAGAAGTTTCAGAGATACAGTCATACCATGAGAACATTGTTCCAGTAAGCATGAGCATTGTTCCAGTAAAATGAGTGTCCCGTCTTTTTTTAAGGTCATGTGTGAACTAGGACAAATATATGATATAATTTGTACTCAACTAAGGGTTTCCTTTTCTATCTTTCAGTTTGTGGACAATATTTCATCTCGAGAAGAAATCGACCATGCAGAATATTATCTTTACAAGTAAGTTTTCCGTTTGATTTTGGCTATGTACTCTGTGATTACACACCCCTTTCTTTTAGGTTCTTGCTGTAGGGCGTGTGCCCTTGTAGAAGAGAAAAGAGGATAGAGAGAGAGGTGGAAATCACCTCCCCATGGGGATGGCCACACCTCAGTCCCTTCTTCTCCACTCTTCTCAGGATTTTGTACACACATGCACCTAGCATGAAGTTCAAGTCACCAGATCTGGGACTTGAACTGCAGTCGGCCATGTGGGAATCCAGCACCTTAGGCACAATACTACCTGCTGGGCCCAACACTCACATCCCTTTTTAAACTAAGTGGTGGCATGTGTACAAGGGGTCTTCAATAAGTTCATGGAAAATGAATGTTAGGAAAACACTATGCGTGGATTTAAAATTTCTTGTGCTGAAATAAACTTGTAATTCCATTTTCCGTGAACTTTTTCAAGTTCCCTCTTATATTCAACACCTTACATTTTAAGTTTATGTTTTAAAGACTTTTCCGTATAAGTATGTAGAGAATTTCTTCTTTTTAATAACTGCCTTATTTAGGGAACCAGCAGTTAGCGTAATGGCTATGTGGCTGGACTCCCACATAGTCGACTGCGGTTCACATCCTGGACCCGGTGGCTTAAAACTCACGCCGGGCGCGTGTGCGTGCGTGCCCAAGATCCCAGGAGGAGAATGGAGGAGAAGGGATTGCAGCGTGACCATCCCCCCTGGGGGGTGATTTCTCGCTTTCTGTCTCTATGTCTCTGTCTGTCTGGTGAGCGCACGCGCCCTAAAGAGAAAACCTTTCCGAAAAAAAAAAAAAACTGCCTTATTTAAACCAGTTTTACTGAAGGTCTTTTAGATTTTTTTCTTTTGTTGTATTATATACAATGCTATAATTAATAACCTTGTACATATGTTATTTTGCACATCATTATGAGAATATACATTTAAGATTTTTAAATTCATTTTATCAGAGGGCGTGTGTATTTGCTAGAGAGAGACAGAGCGGAAGTAAGGAGGCACATCCCCTGGGGAATGATCATGCCACAGTGCCATCTCTGTTTCTTCCTCCTTTAGGATTTTTGGTGCATACACGTGCCTCACATGTTTCTCAAGCTGTTGGGTCCAGGGCTCAAACTGCAAGGTCGACTTTGTGGGATCCAGTTGCCTTAATCACCATGCCATGGGCTGGCCCTATGTTTGAAATTTAATAGCTGTTACTAGATTGCTTTCTACTGAAGTTTTACCAGTTTTTATTTCTACCACTACTGTTTAAGAGAGACATGTTTTTACAGTTGACCAACAGAAGGATATTTTCATATTTTTGGATTTTTTTTTCCTGCCAGTCTAATAGGTAGAAATTTATATGCATATTATATTCTGAAAAATGTGTCATTATATGATTTTGTCCTTCTGTGAACATCATAGAATGTACTTATATAAACCTAAGTGGTATAGCCCACTATACACCTAAGGTACGTGGTATAGTTTTTTTTTTTTGAGAGGTTTTTCGCTATAGGGTGCGTGCGCTCGCCAGACAGACAGAGAGAGACATAGAGACAGAAAGCGAGAAATCACCCCCCAGGGGGGATGGTCACGCCGCAATCCCTTCTCCTCCATTCTCCTCTTGGGACCTTGGGCATGCACGCACACGCGCCCCGCGTGAGTTTTGAGCCACCGGGTCTGGGACGTGAACCGTGGTCGACTACATGGGAGTCCAGTGGCATAGCCATTACGCTAACTGCTGGTTCCCAACGTGGTATAATTTTATGGGACCACTGTCATATGTTCTACCATTGACAAAAACATTGAGGTATATATTATATATATACACATATGCACATTATATACATATATGCACATACACACACAACTGTCTAAATATATCTTATCATCTCTCCCTTTTTCATACAGATGACAAATATGCCCTATATGAACTATTCATCATTTATTTCTAATTAACACTGTATTTTAAAATGTTTTCTACATTATCACATTTCCTTCATTCTTTCCCACTGGTATGAATAATTCCGTTATGAACTACAGATGTATTCTCTTACTTGTACAAAAAAGTATGTTCAGTACTGCATTATTTATAGTAGCAAAAGACTGAAACACCTAATGCTCATTAAATAAATGTTAGGTCAAGGGAATTATGATTTATTCTTTTAGTTGACTTTTAAAAAATATTTGTCAGACTCAGATTGAATTTTAAAAGTCTCCAGTAAGCATTGCATTAAGAGTTTTCCATTTGATCCTACTTAGTTTTGATCAACAGAACTCTTAGTTATTTGCATCTCGGTGAAATTTTCTTTTATTTGATTTTGCTGAGTAGCAGTACAGCCTTTTTCTTTTCTTTTTTAGTTTTTAAGTTTTTGTTATAGGGCATGTGCACTTACCAGAGAGAGACAGAGAGAATGAGAGAGAGGGAAAGGGAAAGCGAGAAGTCATCCCCAAGGGGGATGGTCATACTGCAATCCCTTCTCCTCTAATCTCCTCTTGGTTTTGGGCACACACACACATGGGTACCCAGCAGGATTTTCTAGCTGCCGATTCCGGCACTTGAACTGCACAGTTGACCATGTGGGACCCAGTGCCTTAGCCTCCACACCATCTGCTGGCTTTTTTAAATTTTTGAATTGCATAGATTCTACCACTTTTATGATGTTTCCTGTTTAAATATAAATCTCAAGTATACTAAATTCTGCACCTTATAAACATTTATTACAAATTTAAGATTGTCTTTAACAGTGTCTAAGTTTAATTTCTAGATCCTGAGACTATAATCATGAGTGCTCTCTTATACTTCATAAATTAAACGTAAATAGATCCTCCCTGCTTTTCTTTTTCTTTCTTTTTTTTAAAGATGTTATTGTGGGACCAGCAGTTGGTGTAATGGCTATGTCACTGGACTCCCATGGTTCAATTGTGGTTTGAGTCCCATACCCAGCAGCTTAAACTCATGCCAGGTGTGTGTGTGCATATGTGCCCAAGATCCCAAGGGGAGAATGGAGAAGGGATTGTGGCATGGCCATCCCCCCCGGGGGTTGATTTCTCACTTTCTGTCTCTCTGTCTCTCTCTGTCTTTCCGGTGAACACATGTGCCCTATAACAAAAACCTCTCAAAAGAAAAAAAAAGATGTTTTTGCCTTAGGGTGTGTGCCCGAGACAGTGAGAGGAAAGTGAAAAATCACACCTCCCCGGGGGCACAGCAACACCGCAATCCCTTCTCCCATTCTCCTTGTGGAATCTTGGGCATGCACACGCACGTGTAAGTTTCAAGCCACCAGGTCTGCAACTTGAACTGCTGTTGATCATGTGAGAGTCCAGCAACAGAACCACTATGCTATCTGCTGCTCCCCCCCAGCACCACCCCCCCACACACACCTCTCTTTAGTGGCTCTTTGGGACTCTAAGGCTACTTTGGTAATTATTTTTGTTGATATTAAAGGTATATTAGGGCTAGCATCTGGCCAGTTCTCATTCTTTTGCTTTTTGTTCCTGGCAAAATGCAGAAAATACTTTCAATTCCTAAATAGAAATAATGTCTTCGAATTTCATCCATGAGACACAGTACTACAATCACAAAAGAAATAGCGTCCTAAAATTTACAAGTACTTTTGTACCATGATTAACTTCAGTAGTTCAATATTCAGTAACCATTCACTGAGCATCTATTATGTGCCCAGGCCCTGCCCAAGGTGCTGGGCATGTAGTGATGAATATTAGATGTGGTACTTATCCTCATACATTAAAGTATAACTTAGAGATTTAAACGCCACCTTCAAATCTTTCCATGACTAATTTCTTCCCATGATGTTCAGTTTTGTGTGGTGTAGAGTATGCTGAAATTTTCACAAAATTGCTATTTTTTGTTTCCATATAGGTCATATTGACCATCAAATATCAAACCCACTATAAATTTGATAGTACATACTTTCCTTTGATAAAAACTAATATTTTAACTATGATTTATCACTTTCTGTTCTATTCTTTTCCCTTCCATCACCATGAAAATTGGCTCTTTTTTGTTGGCTTCTTTTTCTTTTTTTAAGAGACACTTCTATGATTTTGTGAGATCGCTCTTTTGTGTATGAGACTAGGTAGAACTCTACAAAGCTGCATCAGAATGTCAATAATGGAGGTTGGCATGGTTCACTCCCTAGCTAAGTATCTCACTCATGCTTTCTAGCCTTAGATCATATACAAAACATTTATGCCTCAGCAAAATGAAAAGCTACAAGTTACTAAGCCAGCTGGTAGCGTGGTGGTTAAGGAAGCTGGATCCCGCATGGCCAACTACACAGTTCAAGTCCCAGACCTGGTGTCTTGAAAACCATGCCATTGCATGTGCATAAGTGCCCAAAATCCTATAAGGAAAAATGGAAGGGAAGGAATCACAGCATGACCGTCCCTAATGGGGAGTACTTTCTTACATTCTCTCTCTCCCCCTTACTTGTCTCTTGCAGGCAAGTATAGGTACTCTCTAGCAAATTTAAAGAAAAAAAAAGAAAAAGTTTTTAAGTTATGAACTCTTGGGACTTCTCACAAGTAATTGAAATCAGGAATGTTAATCCTGAAGAAACCAAGGCCCTACCCCTCTGTGGCATTTCCATGATTTAGGTCTTCAATGGTATTAATGTCTTTAATCCCTACATGAGGCGGATTCAGACATCCAGTTAATTTACATCGCAGGGCTAGGGGGAGGAAATGTAGGAGCAACTTCTTAATTCTAGGCATCTCACAACTTCCTGTGCTAGCCTGGCTTTCCCCCCAGGCAGTACCACCATTAAGAATAAAGCCCAAGGAACCAGCAGTTAGCGTAATGGCTATGTCGCTGGACTCCCACATAGTCGACCACGGTTCGTGTCCTGGACCCGGTGGCTTAAAACTCAAGCCCGGCGCGTGTGCGTGCGTGCGCAAGATCCTGAGAGGAGAATGGAGGAGAAGGGATTGCAGTGTGACCATCCCCCCTGGGGGGTGATTTCTCGCTTTCTGTCTCTATGT